CAGGCTGCGGAGCAGAGGAGTCGGTGGGGGCCCAGGGTGTGCAGCGGAGGGCGTGCGACACGCCTGCACACACAGCAGTGCATACACGCAGCACACGGGGCGACACGGTGCAGCTGCCCATGTTGAGAACTAGAATAAGGGAATGGCCGCGTGTCGTGTCCTGTGCCTGGCGAGCAGGGAGCAGGCACGCAGACCACACGGAACATGTGTGCCCGCAGCATGTGCTGTACGCTGGACCTTGCTCTGCACGGTCTCTGTCCTCTCTCAAGTGTCCAGTGGACGGCCATCAACCTGGAGCAAAACTGGGCCACGCCAGCTCAGGGCTGACATGGCTGCACCTGGGCTGCCGTCTCCCTCCGCCCCTCCCCTCCGCAGGTGGACCCCGATCGTGGGCGGGGCCCAGGAGGCCCGCTGCAGCGGCCGGAGCGCGGTGGCCCTCAGTCGTAGGCGGGCAAGCCGAAGAGCTCGGGCTGCAGGTCCTGCAGGGAGCGCAGCACCAGGGTGGCCTTGCTCGTCAGGTCGCGGCTCAGGCGCTCATCGGGGACCATCACCACCTGCATCCCGGCCGCCAGGGCCGCCTCCACCCCGTTGGGAGCGTCTTCGAAGACCAGGCACTGTGGGGACAAGAGAGCGAGATGCCGTGCGCGCCCACACACCCGGGAGGGGGGGGGGGCTGAGCGCTGTCCTCGGCACGGGCTCCGCCACATGCGCATGGGGACAACGGTGCTGCGTGACTCCTGGGTTAGAGGGTGGCGGAGCGGCTGCGGTGGGCCCCCACAGGGACGGCGGTGGGGACAGATGTCCATCGTCACCAGAGCATCGTGGACACGCAGGGAAGCCTTGCCCGGTCACTGCCTTCAGCCTCACCCGCGTCCTGAGGATCTGTTGGGCCAACACCTGGACGCGCGGGGTCAGCGGGGGAGGGGCACGTGGGGAGCGGGGGAGGGACACAGACAGCAAGACCACGTCGTGTCCTGTAGGCGTGACACCGCGTCACAGCGGCACGGGACTCACGTGCTGTGGTGGGAAAGGGCAGGGACAGGGCGCTATAGTGCCAACCTGCGTCCCTGGGCGCACAGCTTACGTGACACATACACCCCAGGAACAGCAAGGCGTGGCGCGTCCTGGAGGATGGTGACAGTCATCGTGCCATGGGGGATGGTGACATGAGGGCACAGTGCCCCTGGCCCTCCTCACCGGGTGGCCTGTGCTGGCACTGGGTGTCCACGTGTT